GAGTATTGACCATTGCTCATATGGTTTTGCCATCATCTGTATTCATCTGTTTGCCAGAGCAGTTCAGCCGTCTGATGCACCGACCAGCCTTTCTGTTATCAGTTAGCGTGTGGCGATGCAGATGACCCCCCTGGCAAGATGTCCAAGCGTCAAGGGACGTCATCAGCACAGAGCGGGGGAGCTCCCAAACTTCGCTTGCCCGGACACACCTAGCACACAAGCAGCAGAAGACTTAGGCTGTAAGGTCTCGCTGCAAAGTATGTGGCATTTGTGCTTAGATAGCTTGCCAGGCCACAGCGTCTCGTAGGGCGGGACGAAAGGCCCCGTTGCCAGCCCCAGAATGTGAAGGGCCTGCAGGGACGCAGATTAGCTTCTGTTGGCCGTCTACGAGTAGTCTTTTGCAACTGCGAGTTCGAGGAAAGAGGACTCCCTCAGCAGGTCATGCTAGCTGCAACGGTCGCTCAGCAATGCACAGCGTTCTTGGAAAGTGGTTGTGGCAAATCTTACGTCCCGCTGCTTTGCTGGAGGCGGTGGTGACGAGCGCCGCATGACAGGGATCTGAACTGTCTGTGCACCCCGCCTGACCCTGCTTGTAGGTGCCCTGGCGACAGGGTTTGATCAAACAACGCTGCATGCGGCATGCTGCTTTGGCAGCCAAGGCGGCCAAGGTGCCAACGTGATTCCTGCCATGCGAAGGGCAACTTCTCCTCGAAGAACAACCTCGGAGACGCGCTGCCACGAGTAGGTATGCCACACCCTTGCACTCACCCTCTGCATCTCTGCATCTCTGCTTCCTGCTTGTTGCCGGGAAGCAAAGCATGCCTCCGAGCGTTGCTTCGGAGCAGAAATCTGCTGGCCTTCCATGTAGAAGCCTCATGTTGCTTGCAGAGCTTCGAGCTGAGGAGGCGCCATTTGAAGAAGATTGGCTGGTTCGAAGCAAAGGAGCGTTTGATGCCACCGCGTAAGATTGAGCTCATGAATGCCTGCCAGATGAGGCACGCAAATGAATGCTAACTTGGGTGGCAGCGTTTGACAGAGGCAACAGCAGGTCTTAGTGAAGAAACATTGATCGAAGAATATCGGAACAGCCGTAGATTACTTTGGCAGGCTTTTCAACGTGCACCGTGCCTCATCAAGACCTCTAAGGATTGGAAGGCACGTTTCCAGCATCTCGAACTTAGCTTTGGCACTGGTCTGAGTCCAGTCTTGCGAGACTTCTGAGACTCGATTGGCATTCACATCTAGCGGAACCACTTGACTATTGCAAACTGCGTTGCAGTGGGAATTTGCTCGTCCGGGAGAGGCTCTCTCTTGTCCAATTCCTGCTTTGCTTCTGCGCCGCCGATTCAACAACATCTCTGCTTGTATGACTTGCCTCAATAGTAGTTACTGCCGAGGTTTGACTGTGAAGCTCGTTTAGCGACCATGTACCTTTTCCACTCCATATATCAGCGGCAAACTATCCAGGACGCCTCCTCGAGCAGTCGAAGCACCTCGATTGCCTCGCATTTCATCATGCTAGCAGCGCCGATGCTCAGTGTACTGAATCCCTGCCTGGATGGGTAGCTTTTGACTGTGTAACATGTGCAGGAAAACCTGATCCCGACGAAACTGCGTCTTGCCATGGGATGTCCGAAGCAGAGTTGAGAATATTCGCCGAGGCTATCCAGCCTCAGGGCGTTTGGAAAACCCCCGCAACCCCCTTTGCAGACCACCTTTCTCCCTGCCAACCCCTTTAATGGTCGCCTAGTCCAGCCCGACCATCCCACGTGAAATTCCAGCCTCGCTGTGCAATACGTGGCAGCGAGAACTTTTCGTCCAACACCTCCCTCCCCCTCCCCCTCCCCCCGCTGCCCCGCCTATGGTGAGGAGGGTTCAAGATCGGGGAGTAACGGCAAAGTGCACTTGGAGACATACAGTTTCCGACCCTAAAACGCAGCCCTGCTCCTTGAGGCCGCTTCTACGGTTGCAGCTCTGGAAGCTTGCGAACTCCCTCACTAGAGGCTGATGGACTTAGCACAGCCAACCCCCTGCATGAATGCTGGAACAGGCATGCAACAAACACGTCTGAAGTGAGGCTTGCCTCCGTTACTCCCTCGACCCTAAACCCCACGTGTGAACTACCTACCATGACCTATTCGTGTGCTCCGCGCCCCGCCAGCCGAGGGGGGCGCGCGATAGCGTTCATAAGTAGCCGTTCCATCAACGCTCCTCTCCCACAATGGAAGCACCTTCCTGTGTAGGACGGCAGCGACACAGACCGTTGACGCGATGAACTTGCGCTCACCTTCCTGACAAAACAAAAATTGTCTGAATCCTCACTGGTGACCTTTGCATTGCAAACTGTCACAAGTTGCGTTCCTGAGGCAATGCCAGCATGTGCGATGCGCCCTCGCAAGCACCCTGGATGATGGTGCGACGGACTGTCTTCACCTCAAGAATGTTGTGAGATATTGCAAACTGCAAGGTGCCGCAGTAAAGTCCGGGATGCTCAGGACATCTTAGGACTGAGGGGCGCAGAAGCTGGAATGGGCTGAAGCCGACGCAGACTTCGATAAAAGAACTTGACCATTCTCCCCTCCCCAGTTATCCCTGAAAACATTCATCAAAGGTTTTTCATGGAATCTGGTCTGGGAACCAGTAAACCGCTGAGCAGAAACTGCAAAGGAGACAGCTGGCTGCCCAAAGCACACGACCATTCCCTAGCAGGCCCGGAGACACAAACAGGAAAAAGGGAAATCCTGCCACGGTGTCCAATTTACAAGTTTGCTAGATGCTGCTACGACTTTATCCCCAACGAAGTCCCCCTGATGAAAGCTGCAGGAGCCGCCTGGAATTCGCCGTTGACCTCAGCAAATTCTCATCCTCAAAATCACAGAGCTCCACACCTGCCTGGTCGGAAACGGCCTGATAGGCCCTCTGGTTGAGAGCTACGTCTGTTCATGTCTGTTGCGCTGCAGGCGAGGAGCGCTTCCTCTACGTTGCAGGAGCCTCGACTGCTCATTAGATTCCCAACTTAAAGCTTGAAAGTCCCATTCTGCTCAGCTTCCTTGTAATCCATGCATGTTGATATTCCAGCCCTTCTTTGCATCTGCTCTCGCGATGGATTTGCCTCCGAGCTGCTCAGCAGATGCACGCCGCTTGCGCTGAATCGTCAAGATCTCCTGCTGTCATGGGGAATAGTGGAGGAGGATCTCAGATGGCGCAATCCTCAGCGTTGCCCCGCAGGAGGAGGAAGAGTGAGGACTCCGGGCACTCATCCTGGAAATTGTTGCGTCTACTTTGTTGCTTAGGTCCTGCCCCTGGTACGCCAGCGTTGCTGCTGGGAGGGATGTGGAGCTGAGAACCATTCAGGCAGCTTTTGGTAATGGCCTGTCATATCTTGTATTCCTTAGCTTCGCAAACCATGAGAAAAGACTTTCAGGATCTTTCCAGATCGGATGGCTCCAGCTTTGGTAACCTTGAAGCTGTCCCTGCACATCAGAACAATCAGAAAAAAGTCAGAACATGCCATAAAACTCAGCAGAGCATAGCAGAGCCTCAGACAGTCCTGCAATTGTGCTACAGGGTTCATTGACGTTGATGGCCCTTTTAGACCCAGAAGCTGCTTAACTTTACTGCCTGGCATGTGGATGACCAGATCTCGTTGTCTGGCAGAATCACGCGCATCCTTGGCTCAGTTTGAGCAGGCTGAAGCCCAAGGAATCTCAACGGAAACAGGCTTGCGCAGCCAACTGCATGCTGGAACTTGCTTTCGTGCGACCAAAAAGCTCCATCAGCTGCGGAAGGAGACCTCACTTCGAAACACTTGGCAAGCCTTTCTGGGTGCTGTTGAACCAAGGACACCCCCACAACAAAGTCAAAGAAGAAGCTTCGGCTTTGTTAGACCCAAGCAGGAAAGTACGCAGAGAAATGTCTATGTCTCCCTTACTTCCGTGCTGTTTGTCCGGGTTTCAGCCTTCTTGCACCGCAGAACTCAACACCAGACGCAGAGCGCAAGATCTAATTTGAGACTTTGTGCAGCTCTTCTCATGACGAAGACGCTAGGCTTTAGGCTTTTGAAACAAGTAGGTATGGGTACAACTGTACATTCTCATCAAACCTAATCAAAAATCTTACAGCTAAGAATGGCTACCCACTGGTGGGCGCGCAGAGGTAGAGCCTGAACCGCAGGCATACCATGCTGCATGAGAACACCAATATTCTGCGTCAGATTGAACATCAAGGTTTCAGCTACATGAAGTACCACGGCAAGCTCCATCCTGTCCGTTTGACCTGCCAAAAGCAAGAAGCTGCTGCTGCAGCAGAACCTTTTAGCGTGTCCGTTCACACAACAGATAAAAAAAAAAAGGTAAATTGCGGATGAAATTGCCAAGCAAGTCTGAGATCTCCTGGACTAAAACGAATGATGCCACTACCTGCAGCTGATGGACTCAAGAACTTGCTGTCAAAGCCGTGGAAGATTGGCAATGAGATGATGATCAGCTCCTGGAGCTCAGGAAGTCAACTCATACCACCAATATTGGGCGCTTGGCACCGTCCTCTTTCCACTGGCCTTCAAGGAGTCCCAGCAGCCGCTGGCACTCCTGACCCTCCTGGCGCAGCATGCTGACATTTTGCATCAGTCGAGCAAGTTTGCGCGCCCTTAACAGTAGGCAGGAGTCGTCATGTAGGATGTCTGTGCAGAAGCACGTTTCTTTTTGTGGTTCTCACGCTGTAGCCTCTCCTGGGCCTTGTGGCTCGGGTTTGACTCAGGCCCGGGACCCCCGTCAAGTCGCCGTCAAGCCGGTGGGCTACACAGCTTACGAGACGTACAGCTCTTGTACGTCTCCCCATAAATATGGCCGCCACGAGCTCCCTCAGAGGCTGGGGGAGCGAGGGCACGATCGGCATGGTGCCCATCTGCTTAATTACACAGACAACAAACCAGGACTCATATATACTCATATCAAAGGTCGCATGTGCAAACAGAAGAGTGGGATACCCGACATCGGTCCAACCACGCAAGCACAAATGGCTCCATTGAAAAACCACACAGAAGCTGGATTACTACAATTGCAATAACAAGGTACGTAGTCTTGCTATTCTTAATGTAGAAGGCATTTTTTCATACAGGGTGATCAGGACTCCCAAAGAAGGCCTGGTGCTCAGACTGTCAGCAGTCCTCGGAACTGCTGGGTACCTTGCTGTCCTTCACCTGCCAGCTACTTGATAGCAGATATAGCAGTTACAGAGTGGAGCTCTTGGGCTGCTGGAAATCAGAATGCTGAGCGTCGAGCTGTAGCCAGGAGAGGCCGGCGATGGAGGATGATAATGTCACACAGCGACAAGCAAACCAAGCTATACCTGCGAAGCCAGATGCTAGGCTGCTGGACAGGACATAGAGCTAGCTGGAATCACGTGCATGTTGTGAATATATGCTTCACTTCAGCCCAACCCAGCTGTAGTGAGACAGAACCTCCATTTTGGCGAGACATTCATCAACATCTCCTCGCCCACAACCTGAGACGCCACAACTAGCCAAAGTGTCACAGGAATTCGTACCAGGCCTGGCCAGATGACAACCGACGAACCTGCAAAGGCAAGATGAAGAAGAACCATCTGTTCATCCTTCAAAAGCTTTGCCTCACTCCGCGAATCCACGCCTCGACACCATTGATCTGTAGCGACACGCTGCCACGCCGCACGAAAACCAAGCCCTCAAACCTCCTGTCAGGGAGGAGACGCTGAAACTCTAAATTCAGACTGCCAAACAGTCCTCTTCCCCTGCGTGACAATGAGCTCCCCCTCGCAGAACAGATGCCTGGAGGCTTGTGGAAGGAGCGTTGCTGAATAAAGGCCAAGCTGCACCTCGTCGATGAATGCAACCTTGCATGCGCGACATGCAGCATTCCACGATGCTAGCTGCGGGATAGAACAGCGCACTATCATCACGTGCACAGTCCGTAAATTCACTTGCTAATGGATCTGATGGGAATGGTGCGCGCCATGCGCGCTCCCAGTGGCTCAATGCGAAAAGTCTCAGGCTGTAACACAAGTGGCTTAGCCGCCTCGCTGCACTGAAGCGCTGTCCTTGGCAGCCAGGTCTGACAGTTGTCAGACCGAGTGTAATTGGCTCCTCTGCTGCAACGCCGTTTGATGGGCCCAAGATGGCTTTGACAAACACCAAAGATGTCTCATACTACCCATCCGCACCCACCCGCTGACAGGCTTCAACAAAGGCTTCAGGAAGTCGTTGCTTTTCCCCTTGTGACCTTGGCAGACAGATCGTGCTGCCACCTAGAATGCTGGCCGGCCATATGAGTCATGCAAATTGCCTTCTGGAGGAAATGAAGGTTGACATTAGGCATGCCCACCACATCGATGTCAGCATGATTGAGCTTGGCTCTGCCCTTTCTAGTAGACCACCTCTTTCACTGGCATGTGCATACTATAGCCTGCCTTCGATCGCTCCCGGTTTGCAGCGGGTAAGGTTCAGACTCAAGACTTCCATCAGAGGCTCCAGAGGGGCCTTCGGAGAAATCAGAGTGGAAATGCTGAAGGAGGTGGAGTAACGGCCTCAAGGTTTCGTGCCTGCTCTGCTGGCAGCTCCTGCACGGCTCGTCGAACAGCACCGGCTCGAAATAGGAAACAGCCTCAGTAACAGGTATGACAGCGAGTACCACGTGGTACCACGCTCTCAAGGTGCAGTCATCACCTACGGCTGTGAAACGAAACACTCCGAAAGGTCAGGACAACATGGCAAGCGCACGGAGTTTGTCGGTCCACGATCCTCACCATGCTCTTTATCAAGGCATCTGTGCTTGCAGCACATGCACAAGCATCTTGCCTGCCTTTTCCTGCATGCATTAGCAAGGTTTCTGCAATCCAATAAGCATGCCATCTGCCCGCCCAGCCAAAGGAACCCCACTCAAAGTAGTGAGGCGCAAACCCCTGCGGCTCCATCTTGCATGTTCTGGGGTCGCCCCAGAAAGTCGGGGTCGGAGGATCAAAAAACACGTTAGGCATCAACAAACAAAACCTGAGGACCACTAACATAAATAGGCATCAAAAAAACAAAAAGTGGTTGGCGGAATAGAACGAAGCCAAATCCGGTGGTAGAAAATTTGCTGAAAATTCATGAAAATGATGAACGATGAACATGACGGAAAATAATGAAAAATCATGAAAATGAAAAATTAGGAAACTTGATGAAAATGATCAAGAATCATGAAGTCATGAAGAACAATGAATAATAGTTAGAACGAAGCCGAACCCGATGATCAATAAAAAGTGGCTGAAGACATATGAAAAAACAATTACAGCTTATGAAAGATGATGCAAGTGATGGACTTTGATGAAAAATCATGACACTTGATGAACAATGGCGAAGAGTCATGAAAAACATGAAGTGATGAACATAATGAAACTAATGAAAACATGAAAGTGATGATACCTCATGAAATATGATGAAAAATCATTAAACATGATGGAGATGATGTATTTCAACGTGTTTGGTGGCAAGAAGACACCAGATCACAGCAGCAAATGCTGGAATGCGATGTAATACTGAAAAATTATGAAGACCGATGAAAAGTGATGAAACACTATGAAACATGATGGACAATCATAAAAAGTAACAGAAAATATGGGAATTAAGGAAACACAATCATAAATAATGGAAAATTGTGAAAAATCCTGAAATGATGAAAATCATGAAAGCTCATGAGAATCAAAAAACAAAGTACTGAAAAATGATGAAACAGTATGGAAACCATGAAAACTCATGAAACATCATAAGAAACAATGAATAATAGTGAAAATGATGAAATTCATGAACTTGCTAAACAATGAAAAGGCATGAACACACTCAACATGATGAAAATTGATGCACAACCATGGAAAATCATGAAAATGATGAGGATGATGGAAATGATGAAAAACATAAAGACATTGAAAATCATAAACATGATGAACCATGATGAAAATCATGAAAACAATGAAAAATTGCTGAGCAGTAGTTTTAAAAAAACGAAAAGTGAACACAAATCATAAATTTACGAAGCATCATGACAATCATGAAAAAACGTTGAAAATTGAGAAAATACTTGAAATAATGGAAATAGTGACAAATGATGCAAAATCCTGAAATGATGAAAAATAAACAAAATCATGAAAGCGGTATAATGAAACATGATGCGAATATGATGAAAAGATTAACAATCATAAAAACCATGAAATATTGTGAAACATCGTGAGAAACAATGAGAACGACTGTGAAAAATATCGAAAACAATGAAGAAAAAGGAAACTGATGAAAAAACATGGTGAGAAAAAGGAACATGATGACAGATGCCTCCCCAATTGCAACACCTGGACAGAGATCACAACATGTGCTTTCTTCCGCCGCTTTTGATCTGGCATTGTGATGTGATTATTGATGAGCAGGGGATGAACATGATCAAAATGATGAATATGATGAAAATTGAGGAAAACCAATGGAAAATGATGAATTAATAACGAGGAGAATGACGAAACATCATTGTGAGATAAAGGAACATTATGACAGATGCTTGCACGAATGTGTTTTGTAAAATGACAGCGGCGGGGTTGGGAGGGGCGCAGCACAACCCCCCCCCCCTCCCCCCACAACTGCAAATACAGGGGAAATTGATGAACAATCATGTGTCTGTCGTTCTTTCTTTCTGTTCTTTGTTCTTTCTTTCCTTCTTTCGTGCGTTCGTTCTTTTGTTATTTCTTTGTTTATTTCTGTATTTCGTTCTTTCTTTCTTTCTTTCCTTCTTCCCCAGCTCGGCGCTCCTCTCATTCGTTCTTTCCCCTGCTCACGAGGCTACAACTATTATTAGTTCTACTACAAAACCATGTGTCTATTTTGAATTTTGTTGATCCATTTTTTGTTGACCCCTATCTCTTTTTTGTTCGTGCCTATTTGTCTTTAACCCCTCTCCCACAAAGTCCGCCTTCGTCGTAGCACGAAGGCAAACCTTAATTCCATGGAACACGAGGACATCCACGGTTGTTCCATAACATGTGCATGCACAACCGTCTCAGAAGCAGATGCATTGCTTGCACAGGCAAAGCCACGAAAAAAAGAAGATTGACCGGGACACAATGCCCGGAGTGGGGACCCGATGGCCGCTGTGGCCATGCATTCCTGGCATTGGAAGGCTGGAAGACTTGCAATTACATCCGGTATCTCGCTCTCCCTCTCGAGATGTGCTGGCATCGGCTGCCCCAAGCCAGTCTAGGGTATGTGCAGCGGACAGATGCGGACCCTGCGCCTAAAGCCACGACGTCTGCAAAACCGAAGGCCTCCACCCAACGAAGCGCTGCATGAGTAGCAACCATGGTTCATGAACAAGCTGCCACGGCTACCCAAGCCAAAGCCAGTACTTCAGAGCCTGCCCAGAGGTCAGCTCATCTGTGACCACACCGTTTACTTCAATGCCTTAGGTTTGAAAACACCGCAGCCACATGCTTCCTAATTCTTTTCAGCATGTCTGCAGGCGCTGCCATCTGTCTTTCTAGAAGCTTGCATTGACAGCATTCCTAGCAGCCGATGCCTTTTCTCATAGCCAGCAACACACATTCTGGAAGATACAGTGCTCCCGCGAGCAGCCAGACCAAGACCGGACCCAACAGAAATCTATACGTCATCGCTAGCTGCCCGAAGCATCCCGTGTTTCAACGACTTAGCTGACCTATGCTGACCTGGCAAATCCTGGGCTCACAAAGCAAAGCACTCACTGCTTCCCAAGCGACGGAAAGTGCCGCTGAGAACCACAGCTGCAGCTGCCAACTTGCCCTGAGCCCCATCGAGAATGGTCAATCATGCTAAGCTCTGAAGCATGCCACATTAGCCCTGCAAGAGCAGGCATCACAAAAGCAAGCTAGGTCAAGAATGCGCCCTGCTTGGAGGCTTGCTGAATCGCTGCTTGTCCTCTGGCCTGGAGTCAGAGCATGAAAGTCGTTGTCTCACATAGCGATCTGCTTGCTGCTTGCATCCGCCTGCTGCCGTGGCTAGTCTAGTGGCAGCTTCCCTGGCCTGATCCTCGCAAGTCACGGAACTCGCCTGAAAGGGGACACACAGAGTGCCGAGTCGGCTTCGAGATGGCTGTGCTCTGACAATCGTGAGCCCCAGCTGCACAGATCAGCCCAAGGAAGCTGTTAAAAGGCTTCGGCATTCGGACTGAGAATCTGGCCACCTCTAAGCAACACTTGCTCACCGAGGGCGGCCAGCTGGTGAAAGAAGGACTGAACGGCCACAGAAAATTGAAAAAAAAAAAAAA